TACAAAAATCCTATACAATTATACTTAAGATTATACAAAATTTAGGAACTATACCAGATACGGTAATCTTTTTTTAAAATATCAATGAAATGTCGCCGATAGTAATAGACTCAAACCCAAAGCCTGATCTCTTTATCTGCACTTATATCCAATCAATTCCCAGCTCATATAATATATTAAATAAAGCATGTAAATTATATATTTTAAAATTAAGGTTCGAATTGTCAAATAAAGCTATATAGTTAAATGAAGAACATAATTTATATATATCTGATAATTGGCATAAAGTGTAATTATAAAGATGATGTAAGAACAATTCCTATCAATGTAAATGTCTTACCTATTCTTCGCGTAATAATTCTCACTTATACGTTATTTTGAGTATATGCGCGTTATTTTAAGTAAAAACATGCACTGTACCGTACGATAAAGGTCAATTTTACCGATTGTAAATATATCAAAGAAATTCCTCTGATGTGACCTTATATAGAATGCACATTATCGTTATTTCTAGACGCTCATGAGTGTTATTTTGAAACCATGCACACTATTTTAAGGTACTGCATACTATTTTTGGAGTGTACGATTTTCTTAATACATAATAACGCGCTTATTTCACGAAAATTGAAATTGGGTGTCATGACACAATATCAAATGTATTAATAAAGAATAAATTCTTAGAATATACTTAAAATAAACATTAGACAAAAAGAATTCCGTATTCATTATAACTATAATTGTTAGATAAAATTTTTTTCTTATCGTATTGGCGCGAAATAATGGTTGTGTGTATTCAAAAAATAGGTTACATACTCGAATTAGCGCCCATGGGCGTCCCGAATTAACGCGATAAATTATATGCAGTCGACCCTCCATAAGTGCTTCTCTTAAGTGCACTTCACATGTACTTTCCTTCTATAAGTGCAAAAATGCATATCAATGATCGATCTAATGTAATTACGTAACATTATACGTATAGATTATTTCATTTTTCCCAACAACGTGCATTTATGGAAGGTTGTTGTTGTATTGACCTTATTTCGAAATAATGCATGAACGTATCCGAAATAACGCGCAGGTTGTTTAATTAATGCGCAGGTCGGCGTTATTTCGCGCTTTTGTTTTAAATGGTACATCGAAAGTCGAAATCAATTTCTAAAATGCTTATATTAGAGAATTTAATTGATGAAAGTCGATTTTTTTGATTCCAACTTGGATATATGGAAATCTGTCGCGTAAATTTGCAAATTGCCATAAAATTTACCATTCGTTATTATAATAAAAAAACACCTCTTTGTAATAAGCTTCAAATCACTCTTGACCTAAGTTAAGGTCAAGGTTAAGGTGAAGGAGTATGGAACACTATTATCCGATATTTTACATAAGTACCGACGGACGGACGTTTACATAATTTTAGTTACTTTTTACCGTAATACAATGAGTTATTAAAAAGTTTTAATGAAATTTTTATGCAAATATTTAATAATCATTTGATCAACAACAAATAGCGATGGCGATGCATTACTGATTTTCTCAGATTTCTCATTCACTGTTACGTTCCACTCAAATATTAAAAAAAAAAAAAAAGACAATCGGCGGAAATTTCCGGTAAATGCTGTAATGCATTCCGATATCGATATAGTATGAAATTCCCAAATTTTATTCACTTGCAGTTAATTTCTTTTTTTTCATATCGAAACATTAAATGTTCAACGTGGCCCGGCTTTTATTAATTTTTTTTTATAACGATACATTAAATGTTCAAGGTGGCCCGGTAGCCCAACTTTTTATCCACCTACATACGTACGTATGTAGGAATTTTATTCAATATTGAAGTCATGGAAATAAAAAATTGTGACACTCTTACTTTGACATTGTAGAAATGATGACATTGTAGAATGAATTTTTGTTAAACGAGGTACCAAAAGGAATAACAATGAGAAAAGTAGGATTATTTACTTGTACAAAGTATCACGCCCGTACCAAATGTTTTATTATAAATCTTTGGCCATAAAACAATGTCGGAAATTAATGTCGATTACTACAGTACTATAAAACAAACAATAGTTGAACCATGGTTAAGATACCAATTGGCTATTTTTAAGCTCTTTCGAGTTCTTTCTATTATGTAGTATATATGTTATAAAAATACGAACTGATGATAACGCAAAAATAGTTTTCCATTGACAAAAAATTGGCATCGAAAAATAGCATTTAGTTATTTATAAATAATGTATGCTTTCTACGTAATAGTTATTGGTTCAGGTGCATACGCAATAGCCACTTTAACTGTTAAAGTAAATTATACGTATATAAATAATTTACATAAATCATAAGTAATCTATATACATAATACATAAATAAAATTACATAATATATAATTTGATACGTATATATATATATACAGTATATATATATATAATGTAGTGTATAAATTTATAATATCGATGTCAAATGTTGATCACACACATATCACTTATCATTGTATCATCGAAAAAAAAAATTAATTTGAAAACTATTTGAAAACTCTCCCGTGTTATTGTAACAAAAAAAAAAAAGGAAGCCCGTTTAAAATGGAAATCTTACCATTCAAGAAATAATTTTATTAAAATACAAGTATATATATCTTTTTTTTTTTTTTTTTTTTTTCCTTCAGATTTCTATTTTTTTTTTTTCTTCAGATTACTATTTTTTTTTCTTCAGATTACTATTTTTTTTAGATAATTAGAAAAAAATTTTCGATTTTGTTCGTTCTAATACTCATCTATTTTAACTGACTCATTTCTAAACAAAAAAACTTGTTTTTTTTTATTCATGCAATCATCGATGGTAAAATGGCTACTAAATTCCGTTGCAAAGCAATCTTCGCGAAATCCGATTGAAACGATCGTATTTTGTCTGATAATTGCTTCATTTACATATGCTTCATTATTTAGATCCCTAATAGAATCAGATTTTTTCAAATTACAAGAAATTGATTTTGTTCAAATTATTTCCTATCCTAACACAAATGAGTTTGTCTTCCTCCCTAAACCTGTTTCTATTAGTCAGGCTTCGCGAATTCGATTAAATCAACTTATTATAAAAACTCAACTGGATGAACCTGTTAATTCAATTCTTCCTCATCAATCAACAATTGTTTCAAACAACTTAGGATCTCTTGCTAAACTTCAAAAGCTTGTTGAAAAAGAAATTTATGTTTCTGATGGGACAAATAAATTATATTATAATGATGATTTATGTTATAAATTTCCTGGGGATTCTTTATGTTTTTCTTTAACTTCTCCTATTCTCGAAATCAATGCTACAAATTCTTTTTGTCATTCCTCTTCTTTCGGTCCTTACACTGACTTGAATTGTGATGATTCCGCAATGATTTTAAATTACGTTTTAAATGCTGATGGTCCCTACTTGGCTTATACTGATGCTTGGGTGGATAATATTTCTAATCTACGTGTTGATAAATTTATCTCTAATGGAAAAAGATCTTCTGTTCCCGCTAAAAAAGGTTCTTTTGCTTGGTTTGCTTTCGCTATCAGTAACCTTTTTTTTAAAGTTCAAGAATTGATCCAGGTATTTTATTAATCTTTCATTTTATTTTATGTATTTATATGTTTCTATTTTTTAAATGTCATTTACTTTGATTAATAGCAAGCTGATACCATCGATATCTTGGTAATTTTTACTGGTTACGTATTGATGACTTTTACTTTCGGTTCACTTTTCGTCAATATGCAAAAGATTGGTTCACGTCTCACTCTTGGTAATTTTTTATTCTTTTGGCATTTGTTTTATAATTTCTAATTTATTTATCATATTTTCGTCTTTTTAATCTTTTATCTCATTTTATC